AAAAAAATAAATGTAGATGTAATTTGACAACCTGGAATGTCTGTAAGAAAAGCAGTTAATGTTCCGGAAGACATTCTTATTTTGCTCTTAATTATTCAAAACAAGTGTCAGATGGGGCTATCGTACATTCCTCTTGTGCCCCCACATTCCTGCAGAAGCAGTGTATATGTAGTAGTCACCACATGCGCAACATAATACTGATGATAGTGATAATAAAGTTGATTATGATTATGATAATGTTGATTGTTTTGGTACAAACAAGAACAGAAAAACTTTCTCTGATGCCTAAAATCAGCTGCAAGCCACTGGTAGTGTACCAAATTCAACAGCACTCTCATAACAACAGAGTGAATTTGTTTTGAAGCAAATAGCATAATTAATTTCATTTGCTGTTTTGACTTATATATGTATGTTTTGCCTGATTTCATAAAGACATCTAAATCAGATTCCAGGAACTGCACAGAAAAAAAGCAAGATAGGAATTAAATATGAATATTTTCTTTATCTTCAAGGTTTGTCAAGGCACCTGTAACTACATTTGCACAGCCGGTACAGAGAGACAAGCCTCCAAATGTGGCACCATATATGGTCTGGGGTAGCAAGGCTCTTAATGTAGCTTTCAACACAATTTACTCACAGTATTCAGGTATGATATGATATGCTAGTGTTTATCTGGTGTCTCCTTTCACTGCATTTTTTCCTCTCCTCTCTTTGGTCATATTCCTTTTCTACCTTGAAGTAACACAGTAAATATATTCAGTTAAAGTCACTTTTGTTGTCATTTCATTTATAGATTGATATCCTTTTGAATATACTCAGATTTTAAATACTACCAGGTAACTGAAAATATTTGTCAGATGTGAAAACCTAATAAGAGGATAGTTTTTATCAATCTGGAAAACAAAGACAAAATTTAAATGATTACCTGACAGGAAACTACTAAAAGCTAAAATTTAGCTAATAAGACAAAAAGCAAACAACAATTTTCCTTTCAGGCTTCCTTGGTCCCCCGCATCTACGGTCCATCGTCCGAGTGTTAGGGTATCAGGGTATTGCAGTGGTGATGCAAGAGCTCCTCGAGATCATCCACTCACTCATCCAGGGCAACATCCACCAATTCACGAAGACATTGCTGCAGGCTATGCCCAAGCAGTGCAAGCTTCCCAGATATGATTATGGATCCCCGGGTATGGTTCAGGATGTCCTTTCGATGGTTCTTCGTTCATCGTCATCCCTAGGCTGTTTAGTTATCAGACATTGTTTTATTATTGGGCAAATAATCATAGTGTGAAACTGATTCCTTTTTTGTATTGATTTGACCTTTTATTCAATATTATGAATAAAAGGTCAAAGGAGGAAAAAAATTAATTACAGCTTTATATGTATTGCCTTATCTCATTAATAGTATGATTGCCTTTTATCTTTCCTAGGTGTACTGGGCTATTACCATGCCCAGTTGAATGATATTGTGCAGTATCCTGATGCCCGCACAGACCTCTTCCATCACTTCCGAGAATTGGGCAATGCCCTTCTATTCTGCCTGTTGGTAGAGCAATCACTCACACAAGAAGAAGTTTGTGACTTGCTGCAAGCTGCACCGTTCCAGAATATCTTGCCGCGCCCCTACTGTAAAGGTGGGTTTTGCTGTTGTCACTAGGGATGAGCCCCTACTTTACCACAGAGCTCATTCTACTCCATTCCTTTCTAAACTATTTGTGTGAATTTGTAATATATAAAAGAATATAGAAACATGAATAGGGAGGGGCTCTGTGTGTTTGCTCTCCACACTGAGAACACAAGTCAGTTGGTGTTAGCCAGTGACCACCTTGTTTAAACTATCTGTGTGAATATATAAAAGAATATACAAACATGAATAGGGAGGGGCTCTGTGTGTATGTGTATGTGCGTGTTGCATGCATGCGTGCATGTACGTGTACATATGGTCATTCAATTCATCAGTCTCTGCTTCATACAACAGATCAGAGAGGTCACGATCATACTCCAATAATGTAACTCTTCCTTTTATGAATCCTCTTTTGATTTCCCATCTTCGTAACTTGACTCCAAGTCATTATCATATTTTCTTCATCATTCTCCTATATTTTTAACAATAAAAAGGTGTTTCCTTTATTGCATTTCTCCTTTTCTTTTCAAAGTTGAGTAATCAAGTTTTGAATTCCCATGTAGAATAACTTAATATACTCTGAGACCACATGGCTGAAAAAGTAGATGAGAACTAAGCCCATAAAGCAAATTGAAACAAAGAAGATGTATGGAAGTATGCACATAATTCCATGGTTCTCTTGGTACATCAGTGACTTTAACATCAGAAGTTAAAGAATAGAAAGGAAAAGGAAGTTATTTGTGATCTGAAGATAAATCTCATATTCATATATATGTACTGGCAGTAAGAAATATATCATTTTTAATTAGTCAAGTTCGTTTTTTTTCATTGGAAGAAGTGTCATAGATTGTAATGATAAAAGAATCAAACCAGAAAGTGATAATTCTTGTAAATATTTTAAGAAATGGATATTATGAAAAGTTTTAAGAACATCATAAAAAAAAAACTTTTTTTTTTCAGAGGGTGAGAAGCCAGAGACAAAACAGAAGCGTTTAGAGGCAAAATATGCTCCTTTGCAGATTGTCTCCAACATTGAAAGGCTTGGAACAGCAAAGGTTAGCTATGCTGCATGTGTCTAAACTTGATCTTTTGCAATAATTTTTACAATGTTATCAAATATTGTAGTAAAGATTTAAAAGGTGTATAAAAATTATAGTTTTCTAAGAAATCATATTGAAAATATAAACTTTATGACTAAGATAGCATTGGCAAGAAGATACTTGTAAGATTAGTATACTGCATATAACTGCCTCCAGGCTGAGTTTCATTAGAAGTATTGTGTATATAAATTTCTCAAGATGTTTACAATGAATTAATTTGTTTTTGTTTTTTTTTTTCTTTTTCATTTTTTGCAGCAAGCCATGATTGCACGAGAAGGTGACTTATTGACAAGAGAGCGCCTTTGCTGTGGCCTGTCAATCTTTGAGGTTTGTCTGCGATGACATCTGTCCCGTCTTTCTTTTAATGATGTAAAGTTGAATTCAGAGCAGTGTTACTTGCAAAGTAAAGGAGATTTTTTCCTTTCTCTAAAATGAGCAAATCTCTTGACTTTTTTGTTTCCTTCAGGTTATTTTGACACGAATACAGACCTTCTTGGAAGACCCCATCTGGCATGGTTCCCCACCTGCAAATGGTGTAATGAACGTAGATGAATGCACTGAGTTCCACCGGCTGTGGTCTGCACTTCAGTTTGTCATGTGCATACCAGTAGGAGCTAATAACTTCACTGTTGAGTAAGTGGTAGTGAGTTTGTTTTGTTTATGTTGTTATGATTGCCCCATAACCCTCTTTTTCCCTCCTTTTTTTATATTTGTAAATTTGTTTGTTAGTTTATTTACCCATCTTTTTATGAGAGAGCATCAGTCTACCCTTGATGTTATTTCTGGGTAATTTATCTTTTTTATTCTAGTTTTTTTTTAATAGGTGTTGATGCACAGATTTTTGTATATACACTCACTATAGATTTGTTTTATTAATTATTTTACAAAGAGATGGTGCCACATGTGTTTAGTTTCTAAGCACATAAAAATGACTGGGCTGTCTTTTTAAAATATAAAAAGAAAAATTAAATTTTAAAAAATAGTCTTTTTATGTGATTCAGTAGTTAGGTTGATTGCTAATATAAATGCTGTTAATAGATATGTTTTTGCTGTTGAGTTTGATCATATGAATACACAACTATAGAGCACATATTGATACAACTACACAACACACGAGTACTATTCTGCACACGCATTTGAACACCATTATACAAACACGCATGCTCACACATTCATCCTCTTCACTTTAGACTGATGAAAGTCAGAGCCTGACTAAATTTTTTCATTACCTTCTCAAGACAACTCTTCGGTGAGGGGCTCAACTGGGCTGGCTGCTGTATGATTGTCCTTCTGGGCCAGCAGCGGAGGTTCGAGGCGCTTGACTTCTGTTACCATGTCCTTCGGGTGCAAAAGGTGGACGGAAAGGACGAGGCCGTTAAAGGAATTGTGAGTAGTTTGGGGTGCCATTTTTATTACTGATTGTTTTACTTTGGGATGTATTAGAACTATTGTGAAATTGATGAAGGACACATGGATGAGAGTGTGAGGGAAGCAAGGAAAGAGGAAGAAAGTAAGTTATCAGGGAAATCAGGAGGAAATTAGGGAAATGGGGATGAGAGAGAGAGAGAGAGAGATGGTTGGGTTGAAGGCCAAGGGCAAGATCACATGATCACTTAATAACCACAGGTCCTTTATTCTCCATTCCAAACAGCCCATCACAGTGCACTTGCTAGTGTAGAGCTGCAGTTGTTAGCTTAGGGGGTGAGGTCTTGCATCAGTTGTTGATCTCCACCAGTGGGTGTCCGCCTTTCAACTCCTGTTGGCTAGGTTGTTTTCCCACCAGTGGGCTCTCAGAACACAAATTACTAAGGCGTCTCAAGATGCTTGGTAGAATGGCTTAATTTAGGCAGCAGTTGCAAGGTCCAGCCATATGCATACCACATGCCTTGAGTCTTGTTTGGGGAATACTAATACATAGCACCAAGTTAGTAATAAGATGCAAGGTCTGAGATCTGGCCGTAAGGTGAGGCAGGGGAAAAGACCCAGGTTTGGTAAAAGTGCTGTAAAGATCAGGAATTAAAGGGTAAGATCAGCTAATTATTACACGACTTGCATCCACCACTAATGAACTCTGCATTACAATACACTTCATAGTGTGGGGATGCCATCTTTAGCATTAAGAGTGTGGCTCTACCCATCTTTACTGGCGGTCGTAACCATAGAAGAGAAAGTGAGAGAGTGTATGTGTGTTTGTCTTTATTTCTTTATTTGTTTTTGTTTGAGCAAGACATTTATAAGTATCCTCTTCCTTCCCATTCAGCAATTGAAGAGGATGTGTGATCGCATCCGACGGTTCCAGGTGCTGAACTCTCAAATCTTTGCTGTTCTGAACAAATACCTGAAGACAAGTGACCCTGACAACCTCCCAGTAGAACACGTGCGATGCTTCCAGCCACCTATCCACCAGAGCCTGGCTAACCAGACATACCAGCGACCAGACCACCTGCGCTAGGGCCACATTGACATCCAGGAAACTTGTAATCAGAATCGGTTCTGCAAGGGAGAGTAGGGGCATCATACAGTATTGTTCTGCTGTGAGGATAGACTTCTTATGAGGCTTTGCTGGAAGATTTATGAGAGTGGATGCTTGTCCTTACCTCCACCCAAAAAAGAGAAAAAAAGTACTCTACTTTTCCTCTAGAGATACACACTTTTGTATATATTATTTTAAAGATTTTTGGCTTTTTCAGAACTGTTGGAAATTGTCTGATTGAGTGAGGAAGGGAAAGTTTGATGAGAAGACATTTCTTTGTCTTAATGTGCAAACCACCGAGAGAAAGGGGTAATTGTTGTGCTGTGTTGAACATTCATATATGGCCAATATGTACTGTTTAATTTGGAAGACAATAAGGTACAATGGTTTGTAAATAAGAAGTATATGCAAAACTATTCTTGAAAATTTAGTTCAAATCTGTATCTCTAGTCAGGAGACACTGTTAGTTCCTCTATTGATTGTGTAACCTCACCCTTTACCCCTTTTCATTTTGCAATAATTAGGTTAATCTGGACTTCATAAGCTAATTTTATGCTATGTAGTAAAGCAGATATTTTGCCAATTTTTTTCATTTGGATAATGTTTCTTTTCACAGGGATGAGCCTGAGTAGTTCAGTTCCATGTTAAGTTACCTTTGGCTTTGCATTACAAACTAGTTTAGTTTCTTTCATATCATATACACATTATTTTAAATCCCAAGCTGGAATCATTTTCAAGTGAAAAAAAGGCAGAAGGGAGAAAAAAACTGTATTAATCATCTGTTAGAATAGGCCCACAGTTACCATGCATTTAGTCCCAGTTACATAAAATATCTGCTTATAAGCCATGTAGATAATTTCATTCAGAGCTAGTAAAAATCTCTTGAAGTTGATTTTTTTTTTATTTTCCCATTTTTCCTTTTTTTTGTAATTCACAATTATTAAATATATCAAAATCTAGCTACTACATGTAAACTCATTATTTCCATTCAAGGATGGTAGATTGGAAATGATATGTACATTTTTAATGTGGTGTGTTCAACATAGGGAATCTCAGTTGTACTTTACAAATGATATTTTTTCTGTCCAAGTGGAAATGATGAACATTTTCCTGCAAATTATCAGGTAGGGACGGAGTCTGACACATTCTTTTCTGACGATGAAAGGCAATGTCTTAGCCCCTCAAGGCAGAATACTGGTGAATCTGTCTGCTCCCACAGACAGGATCTATACCAAATTCTACTACTAAGACTATGCTCCCCAGTTCCCCTCGTATTCACCCAATCCTTCAGCCAGTTTGTTGAAATTATACAAGGCATGATGCAATGAATATTCAAATATACAGATATGTATATAAACAGATATAAATGTTTATCTGCCTATCTATTTGATAGATATACATTTATCTATCTACCTATATGGTAGATATTCATGTCTAGACTGATAGATGTGTATTTATTTCTGTTTATATGCACGTCCGTATTATGAATATTCTTTGAGTCAGGCCTCACACAGTTTTAACAACCGACCATTTGTCAAGGCCAGTCTTATCCCCAACTACCAGAACCATAAGGCTGTTTCATACTCCACTTGATTTTAGTTTGATTAACTTTTTTATCAAACATGCCCTTAAAACGAAAGCATGGTCACCGATTTCCCCTTGGCCGGAGGAGTTAATTGGTATGAAATTCTTTATGGATGAATTTGCATGACTTGTATATTCATTTATTAATAGCTATATATGTCTTATATATAGATAATTATTCCTAAGTTTATGTAGGTTTTTACATTTTGATGTGGATGTCTCTGAAGTAGGAGACCTTTTTCCCTGGAACTTTTTGTTGTTTGTAGATATTGCTTTAGGGTCTTGCATGGTTTCTTGTTATCTATAACTTACATATTAAAGGGAATTTATGTAATGACTTTCCTTGTGATAAAAGGACAAAAAGAAAACTTGACTGAAGTAGCTTGGGCATATTATTAGTCAGATATCAGAATATTATTGCTGGAAGTTTTCTGGTGTGTAAGTAATGATTGTAGATATGGCCATATATGGGGTTCAGCTTATGATTACCATGTATTTTTGTATAAGGTAAAATGTATAGAAATGAGACAAAACAAAACACACTGCGCACACTTCAAACACAAACATAAAATTTTCTGTGCTTGTCAAATGAGAATGGATAAGTGCTGTACAAAAAATAAGAAATTAACAAGGTAAGGTTTTTAAGTTAATCAGTGGCAAAAGGTGGAATAGGAATGTATATAGAATGGAGTTACTTTAGGCTTTGCTGTGTATATTGTATAAGAAACAGTATTGAACTCGCTGGCCTTTTGAGCACAACTTTTCCCAGTAAGACCCTCATGCATAATGCTATAGTCATTACCAGTAATTCTAATATTATTAATGTCCTGGATGTAAGGGTAAGTCCTTATTTTTACTACCTATGTACTTTGCTCTTTGCACAGTACAAAGTATTACCAAGTAGCTATTAGTGACACCCAATCTTGAGTGCCTGAAATGTAGGTATTGAGGCTATGAAAGGTGAAGATAATTTTTTTTCATTGCTAGGAAAAGGAAGCTTCAAAAAAAAAAACTTTTCGTATAACATTAATATTTTTGAAAGTTACTGATTTGTGTTGCACTCTATGAGGTTTATTCAGAATTTATATTTAATAGTTTCTTTATGTGTATGAATTCATACACATACTAATTAAAGACCTTATTTTATATATTTTATCTTTTTTACTCGTCTTGTATATATGAAAACCATTTATTGCATTCTGTTGTTTATCATGTGTTCAGAGAAAGGCAAGATTATAGGTTGAAGTTTGAAGAATATCTTAAGGAGAGCTCTGTGGAAACAGTTATTGGAGAGGTGCAGTTTCAATAACATATCACACTAAGGAAACAAGACATTGGTACTCAGAGTTAACAGTAATATTTTGAATTTTGTCAAAAGCTTAATGGGTGCAGGTGAATTTTTGATGTGCCCCCTCGCACGGGATTTGGCTAAAGAGGAGTTAAAAGAGAATCAAACAGATTAAGCGCTAGAGGCTTTGTCAGTGCTTCTATTACTGACTTGTCTGTTGGTATTTTGCTTTAAATCATAGTAGAAATGTCTAGCAATCCTAAATATTAGCAGTATTTCATGATAATTTGATGCAGTGGATCATACAGTAGATATAAAGTTGCTTAACTTGGATTTACAAATTCACTTAGATTATCTCCTGTTGTGCTCAGAATAATAGTTGTTTACTGGGATTTAGTGAAATTAAATAGCCTTTTAAAAATATTTCAGAATTACAAATGACTGATACAACTTTATGATAATAATGTTCATGTCTTTTAGGAGGATTAGTAAGGCATGTGAAGCTGAGCATTGTCTTTATTGCATGTTTGCACAAGAGGGATGTTTTTCTCCTCAATTAAAATACCAGCTGGAGAATACCTGTACAATACCAGTTTTATATCAATAAAAATCATACAAATTAATCACCAGTTTTCCTACCCAAGTGGGAATATAATTGATAAACCATAAAAGAGCCTTGAAACTTAATGTTTGCTAACCAGTGTTGAAGAATAGGTTGTCTTTATTGGTTATTTGCAAAAGGATTACATAGATTAGTTACCATATTTGAAGCTAGAAGTAAATATGACTGTTTGAAAGTGTACAAAACACATGGACAAAGGCTAATCATTAGTTTCTGTCATTCTGTTAATTGTTATAATTATTATCATCACCATTCATTCAGAAAAAACAGCTTCAGTAATAGACAAAGAAAATAACATAAAAAAGAATCAATTATGATAATGTACACTGTAAGAGATACTTACAAGGGAGACAACAGACAGGAAACATGTGGTTTGATCGTTTGTCAAAGGCTGTAAAGAATGGTGCGAGATCTGGGGGCTGATGGGAGCCAGCGATAACACGACCTAGAGCATGTTTCTCCTCGGGTATCTCCAGGCTTTCCAGGGTGCAATTAAAACCTACTCTCTGTAATTCACTTATAGAAATTATCAATATCTATAAAGTCAACAAAAGTTGTATTAGGGATTTTATATAAAACATTTAAGAGTTCATTATTACAAAATTTGCTTTTTATTACCAAAAATAATCAGGAAATGGCTAATTTAAAGCAGGATCTACACTCGCATCGACAGCCCATCAGACCAGCATTAATAATTTTGAATCGGTAAATCAGTGTCTGTGCTTCTTTCTTAAAAAAATATACACCATGAAACACAGAACTACATTGAAACAGAATAAGTTCTTGTGCTTCGTGTTGCTCAAACGAGAAGTCCTATGTGCAGTGTTATTAAAGCAAAAGGCATGTGCGGTCTATTACGGCCGAGCTTTTCGCAATTGAAACACTAAGCCTGGCTAGGCACTCGGACAGAAGTCAGGACCTAAACAAAGACAAGGGCAGTTGAACCGTGCCTTGAATAAACTTCCCATCAGCCAAGACATCCATTGAAAAATAAAACTGATATAAGAAATAAAAGATGTATTAAAAAATGTGAGTCAGGATGAAAGATTAAAGGATCAGGTAAGTACAGGGTTTTATGTGATGACAATCAGGCTGGGGAACAAAGACCTTTAGGAAGAGGGAGGGGCATCTGTAGTAAAAGGATTTGGCTCCCAGTTTTCAACAACAAAAAAAGTTTTGTGTTGTTTTACTCATAATGCACATAAATTGTTAATTAATATGTTTTACCTTAACTTGTTTATGAACTCTTCATCATGAAATATAAGTTGATTTATTGGATACATAACTACAGTATATTCCATTTCTTGCT